CACAAAGCATCTGCTCTGTAAAAACCTGTCTTCTGATTTCTTCCTGCCATCTTTAGCTCGACTGATTACGAAAAAAAAGTGGATCCTCTGCCAAAATTGAATTTCTCGTAATTAATTGCTGAGAGGTTACTGTGTCTCCGTGGAGACAAGACACTCGACTCTTGAATGTTGCCGTTACTGCATGCAGACCCTGTTCTTCCAGCTATAAACTGTCCTCACATGATGCATCTTTTGAACTATCCCGTTGCACTCTCCATAACCATGGAGAATCGAGGCAAATGCACTCAGTTTGACTTCCAGGCTGAAATTCAAAGAGCCTGTGGTGCTAACTAATTCAGCATGTTAGCACCAGCAATAAAGCGGCCATATTGATGGGAGGTGTGATGTGATGAGCACTGGCAGAGGTTGAGGGCCTGGTTTGGTGACAGCCAGCTGATTAAACAGGCGGGTGATGAATGGACCTGGAGCCTGGCTGTGAAATGTCCTGCAGTTGCTGCTGCCGCCTGTGGATGCCCGGCATTCTGCTGCAAGCATGTCAAAACACACAAGTGATCTGCTGCATCCGAGAGTGCAAAACCCCCTAAAGAAGCAGCCTCTGTTTGTTAATGGAGGACGGGGATGGATGGAGAGAGAAAGCCTTGGTTTTCTGTTTGACATCGCTGCAGCTTGACATAACACTGAAGTTTGCTACTGCCTGACCTTCTAGTCTTATCAAAAATCCATCTCCGAGTGCTTAGAAAATAGCATTCTGCCCCCCCCCACACACACACACACACACACACACACAGCCTGCATGCTTCTTCATAGGTCAACATCTCAGTCCAATCTTCCTGGTTACCACAACTCCCACTCAGTACCCGACCTCAAACCCACCCTCCTGCAAAGTCGCCTCGGCCCTGCTCTCTGAGTAAAAGTTTCATGAGTTTGCTCTGCCCTGCTCGTTATTCCATTGTCTGTCTGAGAGATTGTCACTGTGATTTATGTCAGAGAGTTTTAATATGCCGAGGAGAGGCTGTTTTTGGTTCCAGTGAATGTCCTAAGCCCAGGGGAGCCATGACAATCAGGCTATGATATGTCCCCCTGTTGAGAGGAGGGATGGCACTCCTTTGTCTGCCAACTGCATGATCCACTGCGACTGAGTATACCTATCTTTATGAGCATTTAAGGACATTTTAACAGACTTAATTCACCTTTAAATTAAACCAGTTTTTTCCCTTTCCCACATAGGAAACCTTTCCTATCCTGAATAGCCTATATGGATGACAATAGGAAGTCTTTTTTAATTATTATTTTTTTGCTTCCCTGTCCTGATTTTAATGACAAGCCCTCTTCTTCATTGACTCCAGATGTCATAATGTTTTAAACAGAATGAGGGCTGTTGATCTGTAGAGGGCCTCAGATTTGATTTTGGACAAGATGCGGCTTGTGCAGCTGGCTTTCGCTCCCACAAGGGGAAGACGGTCCTCTGCCAAAGTGCCTTGAGTGTTAGATGAACCATTTGTTTGTGAGCATATTGAAAAGTTTAAGTCATGGGCTGTAAACATTTATTGCAGTTTACTGCCTCCATTTGCCTTATGGTCCAATGCACCACCTGGAGTGTTGAAGATAAACGTACTGCTGGTGTCTTTTTCTTGCTGTCAGAAGTGCCTAAATTTCAACTCAGTTTGCTGGTTATACATTGCGAAAAGGCTGTAAACGGCTTAACTGCAGCAAATATTAGTGTTTACGACCCCAGATTTGAGCCAGTAATCTTATTTGGACAAGCAAATGGAGTCCGTGACCCCCAGTGTTTTGGCTTGGGAGGGACGTGGAGTGTTTTTTTTAATATGTTTGGAATGGAAGGCAAGAGATAAACATTTACAAAGATGGTCAAAAACTGCACAGAGCAAGAAGTATGTAAGCAGTGGATGCAGATATCATATCCCATGTCTCTGGTGAGCTCTCTTTTACATGGCTGAGATGTCGGATATCTGATAGATATGAAGTGAAAACATTCACTCAAACAGACATGGACGAGGGACCCAACACGACTCTTGTTTATCCAAGCCTTTAAATGTCACGAATTAAACATTTTGCAGGACTTCCTGGATTTTATAATCAGTCGTTTTAGGAAGTTTATCATTCAGTAAGTCAAACTGAAAAGTGACCGATTGCTTCTTACTAAAACTGCACCACTTCCACAGAAGAAAGCAGTAAAAATCTGCTGCTGATGCCACTTTAATGGACACTAAGTTGTTTGTGAATGCTCAGGGAGATGCTATAAAAGGAGCAATGTGTACATCAAATCTGTACTTCATCACAAGAACTATTTGAAGCTGCAGGAAAGGGAGCGACGTGGGAAGAAAGTAACTCATTTGACTTATGGCCCACTGCTAAAGCGATCTATTTGAAGAGGCAGCAGAATGAAAGAGACTTAGATTAGTGTTGAGTAGCGGAGGCTTTTTACCCCGCTGCCAGTGCTAAGTAGAGCAAAGAGAGAGCAGAGGAACATGTGGACGTGGCTCGCTGGCGTTCATGCGACATGTTCTCGTGGAGCTACAGTAGCTGCTGGCTGCCGCTGTGCAGCAGCGATAAACGGAGCGGACGGTCGCCTCCAGGAGCGAGAGCTATAGGAATGACAACGAGCTCAAAGGGACTTTTCCACTTTGTATCTTGAATCGATTTGACTGAAGCTCGCCACTATGTTCTGCGCTGTAGTTGGATGCAGTGTGATGTCTTTCCACTTGTTCTTGTTTGTCGCTTGATTTGTGTCTCTCTGTGAAGCTTTGAGAGATTCCCAAACTTTCTTGGAGTGTTGAAAACAGAAAAGCAAGACTTCCGTTGGTCTTGAGGGACTACTTTTCTCATAAATCTCTGCTGATGGGTTGGAACAAAATATCGATACAGCAACATATCATAGCGCTTCCTCTTGTGATACATTATTGGTACGCCAAATATCTGTGTTTTTTGTTAGGACGTACGGGCACATTTGACTTACCAAAAGTCACTACTTCATGAATACTCGTGGTGGTGCCGATGAAATGAGGGTAAAGAGAACAGAAGTTAACTAACCTGCAGAAAACCAGAATAAACTCTTGGACAGCAGGGGAAAGCAAATCAGAAAGCTACCTAATTGAACTGACTCGTTAAATTTGAATTATATTGATAATACACGCAAACACGCTGGCCCCACAATACAGTGAACAACTACATAATTCCTGCTTTTTGCCTTTTTAGCAATATTTTCACTTCATTTTCCAACATGTTTTCCAACATTATTTAATACATTTAACACATTTAACCACAAGACATTGTAAATGCATTCTTATATGCCATTGATCTGTCCTCCAAAGTGCACAAGGCGGTGTGGAAAATAATACTTATTAACAGATATAACACTTGTACATGAATAAATAAGTTGACACTGACAAGAAAAGTAATAAAGTAAAAAAAATTAAGTGAAATGCAAAAATAATTACATTTACATCCATCCATCCATCCATTATCTACACACCACTTAATCTAATCCTCAATAGGGTCACAGGGGGGCTGGAGTCTATCCCAGCTGACTCAGGCTGAAGACAGGGGACACCATGGACAGGTCACCAGTCTATCACAGGGCTACACTTAGAGACAGACAACCAAGCACACTCACATTCACACCTACAGACAATTTAGAATCACTAATTAACCTCAACATGTTTTTGAGCTGTGTGGGAGAACCCGGAGAGAACCCACGCCGCACAGGGAGAACATGCAAACTCCATAGTGCCTAACAAATGTATTAGACCACCACCCAATGTAAGGTTTATGCCACAGCTGCCCTACATGAACAACATCAGTAATTACCAAAATCATTTCTTATGTTTCTGTAATAGTAAATACACCACTATCTAGAAGCTCTTTAACTGAAATGATATTTTTAAGGCTAAAATGTAATTATTATAGTTATCCGTGAATTTTCAAATTGACTGTTTTGCAAAAAAAATTGTAAAGCAAATTATTATTTCTTGATTAAGATGTCAAAATATAGTCATTTATTTACATCCCTGAACAGAAAAACTACTTTCAGTGGTTGAATGTTGAATAATATCTGACTTCTCAGAGAAGCCCAGTGAGCCGGCTCAAATCTGGGTATAAAAAGGTGAATTCAGTTTGAAATTCCTCTTTCCTGTTCAAAATGGTAAAACGCCAGAGTAGAGTGCGAATTAAAGCACTTCATGATGCTGGATGGTCGAGATACATATACAGTGCTTTTCAAATTAGACAGGTGGTCTAGTAAATGTGTTAAGCACTGTATGCATAATCAAGAATGGAGCATCAGTCTCTCACAATAGATGAGTTGTTTTTATGCTGACCTCACTCATCTAATGCTTCCTCAATGTCACCATTTTTGACAAATACAAAAAATATCTGCCAGATGATCAAAGAAGCTTTCTTTCTGACCATGAGTGAGTTTCTCTTGACCCAAACTTGATGTTAAGTTTTTCAACCAATGGTAAAGAGAGGATTAACTAACATTCCTCCAGATGAGGTGAATAAGATGAGGTGATTTGAGGCAAAGTTCCAGAATGTGATATTTATTTCTCCTTCAGCTACACAGACATCGAGATGTTTCGTGGGTGTCTTGTCTTGTCATGTGTCGAGCATCTCAATATCGTGACACCATTTTTATCCTGGGCAACATATCATGATAGCATCGAATGGTGAGTTAGTCAGTGATCCACATGTCTACTGCTGATCTTATGTTGCCTACAACAGAGGAGTGGTGCTCATTTAACTGTCATTTGCGGTGGTCAGTGGAGGTTTCGGGGGTTAAACGGTTGTGTCTAATCATGCAGCAAGAAGTTTATGTCCTTAGAACTCTGTGACGGAAGAGAAACTTGGCTCACTCGTGCGTCCTCTCGAGCATCGGGACATGTTTTGTTCCGATCTGTTCCTTTCTGTTCTGTCCTGCTACGTGATAATAATCAGCTGTGTGTGTGTGTTTCTTTTTTTTTCTCCTTCTACTTTTTTTCCAGATGCAAAGGAGAGATCGGCCAAGAGATTCTCAGCGGACGGCGTCTTCAATTACACCTCTCTGCTGCTCAGCCAGGAGGACGACATGCTGTACGTTGGAGCCAGAGAGGCACTGTTTGCCCTCAGCCTCTCCGACATCAGCAAGAGCAAACTGCAGAAGAACGTGAGTATGACAACGTGCCAAACGGACCAGGAGGCTCAAAATTGCGACGTGAATTGCTGCTTCGCCAGAATAATATGGAATGTATTTGGCAAGCAGATAGTTCAGAGCATGGTTCAGAGTCAGCATGGTTCCCCCTGTAGTTCACATGACTTATTCAGGGTTTCTTCCTCCTCTTCAGCTGACGTGGGGCACTCCTGCTGGAAAAAGAGAGGAGTGCAGTTTCAAAGGGAAGAACCTGGAGGTGAGAGGCTTTTTTCACACCGAAAGATGAAAATACCTCTGAAAGACAGCTACGATCAGTGTGTTTTGTCTTGACTTGCAATCTCCCATTAGTTTTACTAGTAGTGTGCCAAAATAAATCAGCATTGAGATGTGTGTTGACAAACCTTTCCACCGGTTACAAATAGATTCATCAAGTGTGCGAGCTCACTGGGGAATTGCTCCTTCTTCTTCTTCTTCTTCTTCTTCTTCTCTGTCTGTCTGTTACCTTGTTGTCATGCCAGCTGTTGTATCCCTGGGCGACAAGCCTCGGTAATCTGTGTACTGCAGTGTACAACTCTGGTCTGTGTACTACAGAAAAGCTCACCAGGCAACTGCTGTGTGATGCTGGGAGGTTTTCCCAACAGTGCTCGGGGAAAGGGGGAATATTTTTCCAATAGCTTCTATTGAACAGTATTTGCACTTTCTGCTCTGAAAGATTTATTTCTGGTTGTGAGTATTTCAGGCAGAGGTTTTAAGGAGAAAGTCGCATTGAGTTCTAAGAATTTCTTGTGAATTTATGGACCTGACACTCTCTCCATTTGTTCCCATCCAGACTGATTGCTTCAATTACATCAAAATTCTTCTGCGACTGAACAGCACTCATCTCTATGTGTGTGGCACCTATGCCTTCAGTCCTGTCTGCGCCTACATAGTAAGTAATGACCTCTCAATCTCCCCATTGTTCACCTCCAAGAGTTGATTTTTTTTTCTTTTTCGTTCCTGACATCAAAGACAAGTCTTGATTTTTTTATTTCTTTCCTCTCCTCTCACTAGAACAGGTTTGAATTTTGATAGATTTTTTTGGGGGGTGCTCTTTAGGAATCAGGCTCTTTTATCCAGCATGTCAGCCTTGGATCTGTTGTTAACCAAGCGTAACCAAATCCTGCTGAGGCACTTTAGGCAGACAAGTCAACAGGGGGTACACGAGCTGTGTGGTTTCCAGAGAGAAGGGAAGCAGCAGATCTGTTTATCTAGCAGAGGAGTACAGCTGGAGTGATGGTAACCGGCAGCAGGACGACATTGATTCCAGTGATAGGGGGGCAATCGAGCCTGGCGACAGCTCGGCTCTTAAAGCAGGGGCATTAAACTCTCCCCTTTGACGTCAGAGAGAAAGAATAACACGGAACGTCTCGGACTAAAGATGACTTGGCAGGACGTTGGGCCCTGAACTGGGATTCCAAGCAAGTCTGAGCCCTGTCGGTTTGAGTGAACACATGTCATGTCGAAAGAGTGTTGTGTGTGTGTGTGTGTGTGTGTGTGCGTGTCACTTAGAGCATTCACAGCAGCCAGACGCTCTCAGAGATGCATAATATTAACATTGATAAATGTTTTATTTTAACAGCACTTCTTAAAACAGTCACCGAGGGGTTTTACGGGCAGCGTAACGGCGCACTGAAGCCAAGAAGATACGCTAAACAATGACAGACATAAATTAAAACAAGCTCAGAGTAAAACAAGCTCTTCTAACAAGGAAGCATGGGAAGATTTTCCCAGCACTCCACATTGTCCTGTTTGATTTGATTATTAGCAAATGGAACAAGTTATTACTGTTACTGCAGATAGTCCACATGTGCGTTATACGTCTGTCTTAATATAATACTCACATTCCCATATGCACATTAAATGCTTTAATGATGTTGGCGTCCTGTCGATGCTGGCCACGAAGAGATTCCATTTTAAAAGGGTTTTTTTTTTTATTAAGTGATAGTTGACAAAATCCTCCGTCTTCTTTCTGTGTTAAAATGTGCAACACAGTTCAGCTGAAGATGATTTGAAGCTGTTGCTGTGTGATTAGACAAACGTGGCTATTTCAATAGCAGATTTCAAAACAGTAAGAAAAAGGAGATGGAGTTTTATAATAAAGGGACCAAAAACTTCAGAAAATATCAAGTTTATTCGACAAACTCAAGCCTGTTCATATTATTTTCAGCTGCACTTCTTAAAAGGCCTTCTTATACAGAAAGCAGGCTTTTGTTCTTACACCAGCATTACTTTAAAAACGAACCTCTTTGCTGAGAAGCAGTTACAATAATTGTTTAATTATATGTTTAATTTGTACTTGTGTGTTGTTTTTTTTACACATTTAGTAGAATATTCTAGGTCTTTGAAACAGACAGATGTTCAGATATCCTGATTTGTACATTGGTTTGTCAAAAATCTGAGTCATTTCAGTTTATTTATTTAAACATTTTCTGTTTCCAGGATCTGAAATGTGAGGATTTTCTGTCTTTTCTCTGTTTTGTATCTTTGGCTTTTGGACTGTTGACAGACCTTCAGAAAAAAATACTTTGAAATGCACAAATTCTATTTTTATCTTCTACAGCAAATCCCATGAAAAGACCAAAGTTGACCGTGTTTACATCCATCCCTTAATACTTTCTGACTTTGTTACCCCGTTAATGGTGCTCAGCTTTAACTCTGCCTGCTCCCACTTATGACATAAATCTTTAAAAATGGGTCATTTATTTATTTATTTTTTTTAAAAGCAGTATTTCTCCAAAACAGCCAGTCGCTGTAGTTTTTAGCAAATGTTACTCCAACAGCAGTTCAGAGTGTATTTTAGGGATTATTTGGAATTAAGTGTACCAGGCTTTGCCACAAAGAGTACATGTTAGGATACATTTATTGTTGAGTTTTGTCTTTTTGTGAGATTTGCTGACTGTTAAAGAATATCGAATTTTACGAGTTGTCCTTTAAACATCTGTTGTACCAAATCAACAAGTCTAGCAGATGTAGAAGTTTGTCATTGCAATGAAACGACACTGTAAGTTTTCATGTTCTCGATCTGGAAATAACACATGATGACATACAGTACGCAGCAAGCTTTGGCGTATTAATCAGACGGAGTGTGTTTAAAGTGACCACACTGGCAAAATGTCAGTGCGCTGTGTGTATTGTAATGGACAGAATGAGCTTGAGGTTGCTGAGCTCACTTTAGCTGACTCTTTTTACTATAAGTAGAATTTAATTGGACTGTGCCTGAGGGACGTCTGCTGTTTGTGTCTGTCTGCAGAACACGTCAACATTCACACTGGAGAGAGATGACGTGGGCGAGGTCATGATGGAAGATGGGCGCAGTCGCTGCCCTTTTAATCCAGAGTACAAATCCACCGCCATCATCGTTGGTATGTTGTCAAACGCAGCTGTAATACACACACACATACGCACACTTATTATGAATGGCTTCCGTTTGGGATGAGACTCTGAAAACAGGTTGAGCTGTTTGTGAAGGTGCTTTGATGTAAGCTCCATCTTTGATTCAGTAATGAGTCATGATGTGCCTGCTAATGTTGTTTGTCTGCATCAGACTGCCTGATAAATAGCTGGACACCAACAGGCTCCGTTTGTGTTCAACTTCTTCAACAAGCAATTAGGAAATAATTGAACTAGATATGAAGGGGAGAAATGATTTGCCTCGTCCCTCATTCAGACTCTATGCTGCAAACGGTTCACTTTATTACCAGCTTCATCTCTAGCTCGTAATTTCTTTGTAATTTGTTCAGTTTATCAATAGCAAATCCAGTCCAATCTTTTCCTTTTGTTTTCTTCCAGATGGAGAATTGTACACTGGCACTGTCAGCAATTTCCAGGGGAATGAACCAGTCATTTACAAGAGTCTGGGTCAGGGAACTGCTCTGAAGACAGAAAACTCCTTAAAATGGCTGCAAGGTAAATTCCATGTACCTCATCCGACAGCAGTTCCCCCCCCTCCCTTTCCACACATCTCCCATTATGCACCGACCACAGCAGATAAGCTCCAAAAAGTAGCGATCATTAGTGAGGCGCATTCGCTAATGCATGCAGACCGAGAGCAAAGACAAGCCCCGGTAGATTGGGGGGAGCTCGGTCCTATCAGCCGCCGCACATGCACATCAAAACCGCCTCAGCCGGCTGCCACTGCTTTCGCCAGAGTAAGCCGCACTTTGCGCACAATTAAGACCTCTCTTGTCTTTTGATCTCTAGGTAATTCATGCAGAGTGCTGCTGATGAGACATCTGAGTACAATTATACAGAGGATCCTGTTTCCTCTACCCATGCAGGATTGTGTGACACAGCTCTCTGGTGTAGATTCTGACTTCTTCCCCAAATTTATGATGATAGAAAGTGATGAAACGGCTGAAAAAATAGCTCCACGGCGTAGAAGATAAAAGGTATAACATGTCTTTCTAACTCTCTAACCACAGGTTTGCTTTTTCTTTGACAGATCCCGTCTTTGTCGGGTCGGCTTACATAGAGGAGAGTCAGCCAATAGGCAACCCTGTGGGTGACGATGACAAGATTTACTTCTTCTTCAGCGAGGCGGGAAAAGAGTTCGACTTCTTTGACAACACCATCGTGTCGAGGATCGCTCGCGTGTGTAAGGTAAAGTACATTGGGTTAGGGTGAGGCGATTACACAAGATGGTCATGCAAAAGACAGAGGCGCAGCAGGGCTCGAACTTCCTGTCCTTAATCCGGATACAATTACCTCAAAAACAAGATGGGACACGCCCATGTCAGAGCACGTTTGGTAGCATTTAGCTGTACGTCATGCCTGTTGTACATGTAATGGAAATATGTCACCGGTGCGTTAAAGCTTTCTCCATTTGACTGTACAAACATGTTTTCAGCAGATTTGGTTTCCCCTTGCCTGAATCATCGCCTCCTCCTCCTCCTCCTGGCCTCCCTCCCTCGCCTTTCTCTGCAATGTCATATCCCCCTCTCCTTCCATCTCCCTCACAATGTCAGCTGCACTCGTCCATCCCTCCAGCTCCTGCCTTTCTCCACCAGCCCTTTGAGCTTTGCAGGCATTATTAGTATTCAAGGGTGCTTCGCAGCAATATGAAATGCTTTTTCCACTCTACTCTATGGCCTGTTTTTGTTGCAGGCAAAGCATGCAAACTGTAGCAACTGCAGAATTCACTCGGATCATTTAAACCGTCGACGTCATTCCTCCCCCCCGCCCCCTCCTTGAGAGTTCGGTTTGTTCGATGAACCCGGATAATCAGCCGCAGACTTTATCCCTTTTCACCTGTCATCAGATCAATTAAAAGGCTATGAAGCTGCCTGATGCACACGCACTCAGCATCCCTCCTGACTGATGCCTCCTGTTCATGAAGGCAGTAATGTGAGTAATCGTGGGGACAGCATGTAATCTTAAGTGACAGCTTAATGACTTAGTCCTGCTAGGCTCTTGCACTCGGTGCTGCGACACCTCTCGCAGCCGGCAGAGCACCTCCTGGGTTCTATATATGGAAATCATTGACAGAAAGGCCCACAGACTGTGGCAACTTGCTGCAGATGAACTGTGCAGGAGAGACAGAAGAATGGCTTTCTCTGCTCTATAAAGCACCTTTATTTCACCAGAATGCAGCAGCTCCCCTTTTCCTGACTGACGTCTTTTCAGATGCTATTCTGTGGCAGTACAGTAGTGCTGCATGTGGTTTATTCTCCAGTTCACTGGCTGAATGCTTAAGAACATTAACGAATCATAATGAGTCTCAAAAATTCACTTACCATCCGGCTTCTATTGAACGACATGCTTTAGTAACTTGTAAGTTTGGGCATATTATTGTCTTGCAAATGGCGTTCACGTTCCACATAACCGCTCATGTGTTGCACCGTATCAATTTGTTGTGAGCGATCAACCAATGCAGTAAGATCTGAGGCTAGTTTCGAAAAGATACGTTTTGGCTGTAGCCAATTTTCAGACTGCAGACAAACATTTGAATTTATCTTCTGGCTAATTCTGCAAATTCTCGTAAAAACTAAGATGGCTGGTTGAAGGCACTCAGCGGCTCTTACTCTAGAAATGCTTTCTGCAAAAACTCAACATAGGGCACTTTGTTGAGCGTAAAGACTACAGCAACGACTGTATGTAAATGTAGCAGCCAGCATGACATCATCCATTGGTCTGGAATTTGGCCATCACCTACTCCTAAAACATACCCTGCTCTATTTTGTGTGTTACTCTAAATTGGACCACGATTTACTAAATTAACATCTTTGTGTATGGAATGAGACGTGAAACTAGCAATTGGCACCATAAACTTATTTTGAAAATGTTTACTGAGGGAACAAATCAAGGGAGATGGGGAGTCATTTTCTCATAGATTTACAAAACAATCAAAACAATCTTTTTTTTTCCTGTAGTAGACTGGTGTGGCTGCACCTCACTATCATTCTGCTAAGGTGGAAAAAAAAAAAGCACTGATGTGTTTGTTTTTCTTTAAACCAATCACAGTCATCTTGGGCGGGGCTAAGCCAAGGATGCTGTGACTGTGTGGAAAGTAGGGATGATGGAAAATTGTTTTGGTCGAATAGATGAGAACTTCATCACAATGGGTGCTTCCCCAAAAACCAAATAAAGATGTCAGGCATAACTTGCAGAGACAAACAGAATTTCATCATTTCTACTGCTCTGGAGAAACTCACGAGACTCAATACGACCACAGACGATTTGCTAGTTGTATGTGGCTCTTGAGAGAACTGATATCAGTGTGTGCACTCTCCACCAGTCGGTCTCGAAACATAAACGCTTGCAAGATGGCCGTCCATCTATCACTGCCGACAAATATTTCAAGAGATGTTAACAATAGAATACAGGCTGGCAGCTTCTTTTTCCGTTTCTGAGTCTTGCGTACACTTCAGCTACTGTTCCTTGACGGTGGGGTTTTCACCTGGTCATTTATTTTTAAGCTTGAATTAAGTCAGTCTTTGTTTTTAGACCAGAAGGGATGTACAGGCAACTGTTACTGGATTACTTACTGAAGAAAATGTATTTCCCATATTTATTTTTGACTTAAACTGGAAATCTAATATGCAAATGTAATATGCAAAAATTACCTTTTTTTTTTAAAAGACAAAACACAGAAGCATCCAGAAAGACATAGTAAAATATAAAATGAATGATTGCATATTCAGGTTTTCTCTCAATGGTTAAAACGTTGATAAAATACTGTATTTGCATGTGTGACCTTTCATAATAAAACAGACATCTGCAGTTTGATACCTTTATAATATTCTATGTCATATAGTAAAGTGTATTTTGTAATAATATAGTATTATGATATCCTCAGAAACACTACATCTACAAATATGTGTATCATGTCTGTACATTCATGTTTTACTTGTTAGAGGTAGAAGCAGGAATATTTGATGCAAATCGTGCCAATAAGCCCGTAAGCCTTTTAAGTGCCTTAATTGCCTCTATGAACAGTGTGTCACTGTTGCTGCGAACGCTGCCTGAACAGGTGAACAGTGGCCACATTACAAAAACAGGCACCCTGCTGTTTTTAAAAATGCCGATATTCAGCTTTTTTTCACCCCCTGGGGAGGCCCTCTTCACAAATTCATATCTAGAAGCAAAATTAAAAACTGGTTTAACAGTACAGGCCGGTTTAAAATGAGAAAGTGCTCTTGAACTTGCAGCCCCTCAGTGAGCAGAAAGTGCTGAACTGGGATTAAGGTTAGGTAAAACCGAGGTATGATGACCCCTCCCTGTTAGCAGGCTCCATAGCTGACACACTCCAAACTGAAAGCCTGCACTTCCCGCTCTGTCTGTGGATCAGGTCCAGTCCAGATATGTCGGAATGTGGTTTTATTTAATATCTGAATCATGTTGGGCGTGTTGATTCGTCTTGGCAGACACTTAGAAAGAGGATATGCCTCTTGTCTGATAAAATAAATGAAAAAGTGAAAGCCTCTTCCATTTTTTTTCTTTTGACGACATTCTAACTACTGTTTTACTTGGGTTTGCCAAGTAATTCTGCTTCCGAGTTGTTGGTTTTTTTCTTCCCCCTCTTTCCTATCTGTCCCCCTCCCTTCTTCCACTCCTTCTTTCTTTTGTTTGTTCAGGTGTGCACACTGAGGGATTGTGGAAAGCAGGCAGATTATGAACACTGTGTGGCACCGTTTTCCTTACCTCGCGTTCATCTGCAGGTTGATAAACGTGCAGAATCTGGAACGCGATTAAAAAAAATGAGAGCTGGAAAAAAAAAAACGCAGCACAAAAGGGAGCGGGTGTATTTTTGGAGGGCAGCTATCAGAGGGGAGTGGTCGATACGATTCAAAGTACAAGCTGCGCAGCGGAGCACAGCAACAACGGCAGTGGACAGCTGAGAGAGCAGGAATGTGGTCTCCTCATTATGTGGACAGGCTACTACCACAGCCTAGTAATTGGCTCCCAGCCCCTGCATCAGTCCCACAAGGGTTCACCTCACTGTTGAGCAAGATGATTGTTTGTGTGTGACTGCACACAGAGGAGGAAACAGAGGTAGTTATAGTTTTGCACTTTATTATCTCCTCAAGGGTGATTCACTCCTCGTGTGTTATGTAGGAGTTGTTCTGGGTTTCGGGGGCCTGATGCTGATGGGATAGTTTGGATCTGAGGCAGGAAAAAACGTCTTGAGACTGGGCGAGACCACTTGTTTTGGTTCTGCTCTTCCTCCTCCTCTCGCCTCCTCCTGTGTTTTTCAGCTTTCTAGCTACAATCGGGGAGGAGTTTCTCCTGGTGTGTGTTTACAAGCGCTTTGATAATTGCTAGTCCTGGCAAAGTCGTCTGATAACTGTTTATGTGAATTTCTCGTGACCGCTTGAAAGAAGGGTGAATGCCTCTTCTGTGTGTCGGAGGAGAAGCGGGGCGTGAAGCACTGATCTTGATTTAAAAGCTGTAATTAATAACTAACCATTGTTTATTTTCAGTTTCACCATGTCCTCTCCTTCAAAGAGCAACTGATATCTTGGGCTATAGCATCTTTCATGTGGAGAAGGGTTTTTTTTCTCTCTTTTTGTTTGCCTCCCACATTTTATTGTTAAAAAAAAAATCCTTTGTAAAGCATCACACACATTCTGCACTGCAGGAAATAAGTCAGCATTTAGACTGGTGTGAGGACATTGAAATTCTGGTTGTGATTTCTTCATTTGTCCAATTTAATTCTTAAACATGACAATCACAGCAACCACTATTGTCTCCCTTATTTGACCTCAACAGCACCCTCTACAGCAGAGGGGATGCACTGCAACTGTGATACAACAAGAACAAAAAATAATATTTCTATCAGTTTGTGAATTGTAACATATTTAAAGGTCCCTCATTTAAAATATATATATATGTATTGCTTCTTTTTACTTCGCTTGGATGTTTAATCTTCAGAAGAATGTGTTAGTCTGACAGTTAAAGGGTGATTTCACATTCATCTGCTTAAGGGTCTCATAATCATAAATTCTACCTTCCTGGTTTGGATGATCATGACGTCCAATTTTCAACTTCGACAAATTCTGTGGAAGCTTAAAACCTCTGAAGCACACACGTATTGTAGGAGTCATGTTGTGTCAAGCAGTTAAACTTTTGAAATGAAAAGTAACTGCATTTTAGATGCAATTTTTAGTAGTTTTAAATGACAACAGAACTTTGTTTGTGTGAAAATGATGTCCTAATCTGTACACGGAGAGAATCTTAAGGTTTACATGTCGTCCAGATCTAAAACTGTTTGCGGTCTGATTAGTCTGACTCCCCAGATGTAGACTTCAGGTATAAACCTGCGATCTTAGCAGCACATTTCACAAGGCAGTCTCATCTCTTTCAGCTATTGGTTACAGTTTTCAAAACCCCCTATGCCATGGAAAACATAACATTCTCCAGGCTAGCAACTTTTTGCAGAAGACTTGGATTGTGCAATAAGGCCGGCATGCTTGTTTTTGTTTTTTTGGAGGGTGAATTAGTGATTTTAATAACAGTGCTAGCCTCCCTGCATGCAAATGTTCTCTTGCACACTTTTTTGCTGGGACACCATTACTGCCTCCTGCCTCAAAATGATTCTAATTGGTTTAAAGAAATACAAACAAGCCAGAAGTTTTTTTTCCTCCTTATACCAGAATGATAATGAGGTGCACCCAAACCATTCTCCAGCACTAATCCACTGCTGTGAAGATGAATCTGATTATGCGAGACCAGTCTGACTGACTTGCTGCTTCCTGGAAATTCAGTAGAGCTCCTACTTAGGCGTGGTGGGGCCCCCAGAGGCGTAGCCTACTCCACTCCTGTTTTCTAGGACTCCTGGTCAGAGCTGACTCAGAGGCCAGAGCTTCCTCCCTTCAAACTGCAGCCACAACCTTCAGCTGAAAACAGGTTTTAGTCATACTGGACTGAAACTCCCAACATTTCCAGCTGCTCATCTACTACAGGCTCACCTCCTTGTGGAAAACACTCCTCCTGACCTCTGACCTTTTCCTGCTCTGAACCCCATCCAGGTCTTATCTCTGGATCCCCCAGTAGTCATGTGCTATCAGTCTACGTAAGCAGGGACTGTGTGTTCTCCAGGAGCACGAAGGAATAATTAATGGGCATTTTTTAGGGGAACATAAAGTCCTCTATGACATTTCATAACAAACTGGGTCTTGTTTCAGGGTGATAAGGGAGGGGAGCGAGTGCTGCAGAAGAAATGGACCACCTTCCTGAAGGCTCAGCTCCTGTGTTCGCTCCCTGATGACGGCTTCCCATTCAACATCATCCAGGACATGTTTGTCCTGAAGCCCATGGGAGACAGCTGGGAGAGCACCGTGTTCTACGGCGTCTTCACTTCGCAGTGGTGAGACACGATTGCAGGGAATGGTTCAGACTGTGACCGCGCTGCATGTCAGCAGCGACAGTGACATAAATCACATACATAATGTGATTTATCACTGTTACACTTGATATTTATACACAGACGCACACACACTGGAGTCTACGTGGCTCACACACACCATCTAGAGCCAGTTTTTATTTCATATCTGTACTCGGACTTGGCAAGTTGCCTTTTTTTACTTGGCTCCTCTGAATTTAGAGCAGCTGTAATGAGCTTAAACACTAACACAAGCTCATGCAACCCCAGTGTCTAATTAATGTATCAACAAAATAAAGGTTTTAATATGGAAATCATTCAAGCACCCACTCTGCAACTGTTCTCCATTGAGAAGCTGCTGCTCCAGTTTTCTGAATAAAATAATAACTGCAGAAAGTGTGAATTGGGCATAAAATGGTGACATGCTCGAAGAAGCTGTGTTGTGAAACATTTCAGAGTAACATTGCAGTTTGTTAGGTTACAGTATTGGGCCACAGTTCATTTTCTCTGGAAGTCACACAAATTAAACCCAGAAAACCAAGCTACATGTCTTTTTACAGGTATAAAGGTGCATCAGGCAGCTCGGCGGTCTGCGCCTTCACCATGGCCCAGGTGGAAAGAGCCTTCAGCGGGCGCTACCGAGAGGTAAACAGGGAGACCCAGCAGTGGTACACCTACAACCACCCTGTACCAGAACCACGGCCCGGGGCGGTGAGTCCACAAAACAATATCCTGTGACAAACAGTACAATTTCTTTTGGTTCACTCTGTACATTTTCATTCATGTTGCATCAGCCAGAAGAATGCACATAACAGATAAAAATAAGTGCACAGGTCGTCTTTTGTACCATCCCAAATATCTCCTTTGTTATCGCACTGTTACACTTACACATCTAGCTCTACCTGTCAATTTATTCTGGAGCTGTTCAGCAAGTGACAAATTGTAAAGTGGATGTTCTTCATTTATTTTCTTTGATGTTTTTATGGGGCAAAGGAAAAGCCTAAAAAAATTGTAAAATGGGACACACAGGTTAATAACATGGTTAAAAATGTCTCTATCAGTAGTTTCAAGCCAGCCAATGTATTGATTCTGTGTTTCCAATTTTACTTTACCCCAAATTTTCTGTTTCTTAAGTAAGTGAAGTGAGGCCATAGTGCTCCACACAGGTTAATACAAGACTTCGACTCATTGCATGTCTGTATTTCCAGCACTACTCGAATAAGCAGAGATTCATTTTTCATTTCTAATTTACTCCCCTACAGTGCGTGACCAACCACGCCAGGCAAATGGGTATCCAGTCGTCCTTGCACATGCCTGATAAAGTGCTCAACTTTGTCAAGGACCATTTCCTGATGGACAGCGTGATCCGCAGCGCTCCCCTGCTGCTCAAACGCAGCGTGCGCTACACACAGATCGCTGTGCACAAGATCCAGGGCATGGAGAGGGCTTATGATGTGCTCTTCATTGGAACAGGTGCAGCTTATCACAGCAAATCACTCTAATAAGGGAAAAAAATCAACAGAAGATGTTTGGTTTCCACCACAAATTGTCCCCTGCAAACAATATAACTACCTTCTACTTGCACTCTGTGTCTCCCAGATGATGGAAAGCTCCATAAGGCCATCAACGCTAATGATAAGATGCACATCATAGAGGAGATGGTTCTGTTTCCGGAGCCTCAGCCTGTGCAGCACATCGAACTCGATCCTCAAAGGGTAAATCGCAACTTCATCATTTAATACAGACACAAATTTAAAGACCATTATAATACATCTCTAAATGGTTGGTGTTGTAGAGTTTTGTCTCAGTTTATATTAAATATTTAGTCCCTCGTTACTTCAGTTTATTTAATTTTCAACTAATAAAAATGTAGCAGAGCTAGCTGCACCAAAGCATAAACCGGCTACAGACCGGGTACTGTCTTTCCACAGGGACCGTTCCACTGAGTTTTCCTGTAAGTTATAGCACCGTCTGGAACAGAGTTTATGATCCTCTCTGGCATTTTACCCAGAGCTAAATTTCATTACCTTTTCTCTCTTTATTACATAATGGCCTCTTCCCGGGCCCAAACAGCCAAACTGCAATCTTATCTAAGATTATGTAATTCTAATAAAGTCTGAGATACTTCTTGTGAGTATATTCTTAGCTCCAAATGGGGATATGAAAGACTAAAAGACAGAATCCACATGATGTCTGTCTAATATACTGGTAGATAAGCTGGCCTAAAAATAGACTGTGTGTTTGGGAACAAGGGGCGCACTGAGCATCAGTGACTGCAGCATCTGTGTTGCACACACACGGCACGCATACACACACACACACGCACATATAAATATATATAGATAGATAGATATGTGTGTGTGTGAGACATGTTAAAAATCCAAAGCGTTAAATAGAAAATGAGCAGAGTTCTTTGTACCAAGCACCGACAGGATGAACGTGTCTTTGAACACGTGTCTTGGAGCACATGTTCTCAATGTTCGAATTACTCAGCTGGTATCTAGAAAGAGAACATCTGGCCAGAGTTAGTCCATTGTGTAGGTTATACTCTTCTGTTTACCTAAAGTAATTGTTTCAACATGGTTTCCCCCTTTCAAATCAGAAATCTGTAACCAAAAGCAGCAGGCCTCTTCTGCCCTGCATTCACTCACACTTCGGCTTTGTCTCTTCTGCAGGGTCTGTTGTTTGTGTCTTCGTACTCGGGCCTGGTGGAGGTTCCTGTGGCCAACTGCTCTAACTACCTGAGCTGTGGTGAGTGTGTGCTGTCCAGAGACCCCTACTGCGCCTGGACCGGGCGGCTTTGTCGGGACGTCAGGATGGCTCCACCTGACAGGTGAGCACTCAGTGGCATAGTCTGAAATATACATGGATACTCGCGCAAAGTTTGAGACCTTTAATTAAATATGCCCACTTTTAATTTGTACATAAACCTTTAGCACACACTCGATATGGCTGTATTAAGATTGTTTTATTAGATTTTTATGTTTTATGTAAATTTTAAATCACTGAACAACTAGAAAAATATATTTTTTTAAATATGATTTATACACATCAACTCATGATGTTGGTGCAGATGTAGTGTTTACCATCTTATTTTAACATGTCAAATACAAAGTCATCAGATTGAAATTTTGGAATTTGGAATCTGGCTCTAAATGAAATACTAAGAAAAGAATTGTCAATTTAGGAAACACCAAAAGTATTGAAATGTTCTAGGAGGAACATGAATGTGTGTATCAAATTGTATGGCAATCATAGAACATAAGAATGGCTAAATATCATGTACATTTACAAATTATACAAATATATAAGCACCAACACTGTATCTGTTCTGAGATGAGCAGAAAAGTAGGTTAAAAGGTTAAAAATTGCATATTTTACCTCACTGTTTAACTTTAACTGTTTTCTGATGAATGACTTTTCGTTGTGAGCATCCAACCAAACAAACACATAAAATTCAAAGCTCCTTGTCATGTGCTTCTAAAAGAGGACCGGTGTCTGAGTCACACTGGGGAAGCTGTACTCACAGGCTTTAAATGAAAGACTTGGAGAAAGAAATGGGTGCATCCATATAAGGTGCCTCTCATTACAGCTGCTAATCGTCACCCTGTTGTTTTGTTCTGTGTGTTTTGTCTCAGCCACTGGCAGCAGGACGTGGAGGAGGCTGACACATCAGCGATTTGTAACAGGACCTTTCCCAGTTCCAGATCTGCAAGACCAGCAGCTTCTCGTGAGTGTGTCCTTTCTGTGCGGTGGTCTTTAATTTAAGTGTTGTCAGTCATCTTATGCACAACACAAACAACGTTTAGTTAGAGTTGAAGAAACACGTTGTCAGTTCTGAAAATGATTTCAGGTGACAAGTGCTCATAAGTGTTGGAAGGTTAACAAGTTACTCCGACATGTAAATTGTATTGTACAAATTCTTGTCACGAACTCAAAATTGTACATTGTGCAGTGTATAGTTTCTGTAGCTACACTTAAAGTTCAGTTGAATGCTTCAACTTTGTGGGAAAATTGCTTTCTCCTTTCTTGAAGAGAGTTAAAGTAGTTTACAACGTCTCTCATACTTAGTATATTGTGGAACTAGTACTTAAAGTTAGATTTGGTACACAAGCAGCTAGTCAAATATTCATTTAATAGGATCTTTTCATGTTTTGAAGTAGTTTTCTTCTGTTTTTTTAAAGGTGGTTCCCATTGTCAGCTCATCACCATCCCAGCCAACACGTTTCGAGTCCTGCCCTGTAAGCTGCGGTCCAACCTGGCGCAGAGGAGGTGGCGTTACAGTGACAGCGCCAGCCAGTTCCTCTACGCTACACCGGAGGGAAACCTGGTGGTGGTGGCTCAGTCCGACAAGATAGAGACCTACGAGTGCTGGTCAGAAGAGGAGGGTTTCCGCCAGCTGTTGGCCAACTACTGCGTGAGGGCGGAGCCCCGCCATGAAAGCACCACTCTGATTGGTCACTCGCGCACACCCCACATTGCTCGAGAGGAGACCATCATCCTGCCCGGCGAGTCTCGCTCTGAGCAGGTCCACACGAAGACGTACTGGAACGAGCTGATTGTGGTGTGCGCTCTGCTGGCTTTCTCCCTCGTGGTGTTCTCCTTGTTTGTCATCTACAGGAACCGCGATCACATGAAGTCCATGCTGAAGCAGGGCGAGTGCCCGAACATGCAGCAGAAGAAGCCGAGGATAGTGGGAAAGCCCACCGAGAGCTTACCCCTCAACGGCAACACCATCCCCGTCTCTACTTCGGATCACAAGGGCTACCAGACGTTAAATGACAACTACATCTGCAGCACGCCCACACACGAGTCCTCACCAGACAACAGCAAGAGCTTCTCCGAAGCCTCGGACAGGCGGCCGCTCAACCTGAAGGAGAGCCACGTGGAATACTCCCCGACCTGCCCTCGGCCCAGAGTGCGGCTAGGCTCGGAGATCAAAGACTCTATCGTATGAGAGCACAGCATTCGCTAAACAATGACACCCTGCATCTCCATGAGGGATACAGGCCACCGAGCAGAGGAGAGGAGACCCTGACATCCTCCTACATCACAGCACATCTTTTATTTTGGTCATCTTAGTTCTGTGATCAGTGCGGAGGTCATTACGTTTAACCATTTCCACTCCGAAGCCAGAGGTTGGTCCGGTTTGCTGCAGAAGGCAGGAAGAAGGAAGCAGCGCCAACACTCCGCCGGTTTCAACCAGGATCACGGACCATGGCAGCTGCTAGGAATAATTTTAACACAGTCTTTTTTTTTTTGAGTCGTTCTCGTGGCCACTAACACCATATGTGTGTAAGCATAAGGCTGGGTAACATGGAAGAAGGAAAAAAATAAAACAATAAACAAAAGACCTTCTTCCAGTATCAATGTTTAGCACAGTATCTCTTTAGGTATGCAACAATAAATTGTCTCGTCTAGATATCCATCACATGATACGATTACAACAACAGACAATTCTAAATATTGATATTTTACCCAGCCCAGTCTGAGTAATCTTGCACATTCTCTGCAGAAGGTGGCTGCCACACTTCTGTTATTATGCACACTAGAACCAAGCTACAGCTTCATGGTGACCAAGAGTTCAGGTTTAGGAGAATTTAATACATGTAATGCACATTCATTATGATCCACACATTATGGAAGCGAGTCAGATGCACATTTTGTTCCCTTTTTCTGACTGTATGAGGATTACAAAAAAGGACCAGGAGAATACGCCACACCAGAGCGCTCTTAACACTGTTGGAGCCACAATGACAAGGACTGCAAAAGTCGAAATGCGATCACGAGTTCCGCTCCAAGGCAGAAATACTGACGTTTACCTCCTGAATGTATGTTGTTCAAAGAAGGTCCGTTTCAGTCACACAACATTGCACCATGGAACGATTTAGGGAGACATTTCTGCTCATCTGAGACCGCCCCGTTCTTCAGTATTGATCTGCAGATACCATGATGGGTTAATAAACGGACTCAAACACAGACGCCCAGTTTCTTGAGGCGAAGATGGAGAACAGACCTGACATTACAAACACAGAGAGGCAAATAAAAAAATAAAAAATGGGGACATTAACACCTCTAACCATGTTCAGGGCAGCACCGAAATCATCATGTGCACTGTGCCAAAAAAAACAAAACAAAACAAATATAACTTGATTGTCTTATCTAAATGCAATAGTGCCATTCCTGTTCTGACCATCTCATGCTTTGTGTTAGCATTGATCACTGTCGAAGAGCACATGGTGATGGACCCAGAGTTGGGTTTCACTAAAAGTTTTGTGGCACTAATAATGAATAAATGTGAAGTGCAAGGTTGGGAGTTTCTTCTAAGACTGTTAGCTCATAGCAGACTGTGTTGGGCAGAATAATTGACCTTCATGTAACATTTGAACTGGGGCCAAAGGACGTGGCATGGAGATCGCTTGCCATGTGGGTGAGAAAATATTATCCTTCTTGTCCTCTTACTGAGGTACAACCACTTGGAGATAATTGAGCTTGACTGGCGCTAACAATAAAAACTTTTCGGTTAGTTTACGTGCTAATAAACCCACTCAAGATGTAAAAGTCACAGAATAACTAATGTCGCTGTAGAGGAGAGATAATATTTAGCGGTTTTCTTGTCCAGACATGCAGCTGCACGACGTAGTGAGGTAGATGCACAGAGCTTTGTACTGGCTCAATATAACCACCCCCGCCAGCTCACACGTCTCGCGTACACGGCATTCACCGTTCAGTCAGAGGTCAAGGTGACGTTAATGTGAAAGCACAAGCAATCAGGGTGTCGAACACTTACAGGTTTGCACATTTCAGTAAAATTGGAGCATGTTCTAAGAAAAGCAACTACTGAGACAGAAAGCGTGGCTGCTAAGGAAAGCGACTCTTAGAAATCCGTTCTTACAGGGACCAGTGCACCCGTTGCGAACACTCTTGCACCCACATTGCTTAGACTTTTGAGACTTAACGAGCAGAATTTTCCAAAGATGCAGGACGCTGATAAGTGTTGTGTAAATCGGAACAAGAAACATTTACGCGGCCATAGGGACAACATGGCACCACATGTCTTAGAATACGTCACCAGTTCACTGTATTGATCAAGTAAGCCTACAGTATATATTCCAGTATCATACAGATCAACATTTTTGCTATTTCGAACACTGAGCATACGACGAAATGCTATGTAACTGCTACAAGTTGACAAAGTAACTGCACAGCATACTGCGCAACAGTGGTCAGTGTTTTCTTTTTTTTTTTTTTCTTACGTTTTTGTTATGTATATACAGTACCTGTGCTTAATATTGTGTGTTTTTAAGGGACCTTGTGCAAGATGTGTTGTAGAGGTAGTCTTGAAACTAGAGAGTGAACACTGCTGATATATTTTTTTCTTTCATACTGCTTTACTGCCTACTTCAGCATACATTTCACCGCGCTGTTAGTTCAGCACCTGGGCTGGGTTGTTTTTTTTATCAAGCATGTCAAAGCAGGAGAGGTATCTGTTTTTATTCTCATGTCTAAATTGTAGGTTTGATATTATGAGAAATAAGGTAATTTCTCTTATTGCAAAGAGTTTGGTACCATTTCCATTCCTGATTGAAATGTGATGCTACAGCTTACAGCTGAAGGGTGTATTACGAATAAGATCATTGGGTTAGCGAGGCGTGTTGAGCTTAAAGTCAAGAGTTTTCAGTGCAAAGGTGGATCTCTTCTAGCCTCACCAAAAACTAAAGCGATTTCTGCATTATGGGACAGTGTGAGCACTTGTAAAGTTTAAAGTGTAAGAGCTCCGATGTGCAGTTGTCATGGTAGAAATAAAGGAATGCATTGGGAGTGGTCAAATCAATATATTAACTTCACATGGTAACAGTGCATTTTACTGTAGTAACTGTTTATATGCTTCATAGTTCTTCAGTATAACAACTTGTTCCTCTTGACTGATGCCGTTGGTCCATTTTGTTTGGAAGAAAAATCAAATGAGGCGACTTCTCAGAGCCTGGTGATGAAAACATGGTTAACAAAGAACAAACAAAGCTTGTTGCCACCATTGTGACAGTCATTGTCTCTGGTTGGGTTTTGTTGATCCTGCTTTCACAAAGAAAGTAAGGAAGTCTGACTATGTCAAATGTGCTTCATAATACACCCCTCTGCTTAGCTTATCTTAGCATCAAGAGTGGAAACTGGGAATACAGCCAGTCTGGTTTTGTCCAAAGGTAACCTGCATCTGTTGGCTCATTGGGATTGTTAGTCAACCAGTAAACTCCAGAAAGTCAGTGCTCTCAGCCAAGAAATAGTCCAGCACATAACTCCTCTGAATCTTTGTTTTTTGTACATGGAAATGTTGTTGAGCTTCACAGGTGCTGCTATAAAGATTTTGTCACCTTTGGACAGGAGCAGATTCGCTGCCTCCTCCTGTTTTCTGTGTTGGTGTGAAGCGAGGCTGACAGACTTCTAGCCGTCGTGCACACAAACGAGAGTGATATCGATCTTCTCATCTAACTCTCGGCAAGAAAGCAAACAATATTTGCCAAATTGTTCAACTATTGCAAGCTGAGACCGAACAAATAAACCGAGAGTATTAGATTTGCCAACAAATGGATAACCAAAATAAATCAGATTCTTAAATGCTTAGTGCAGAGTGTTGCTTTTCACCTCTGCTGAGTCAGATTCTCTAAACCATATAATGTCTCAGTAACCTGCTTTGAGTTGCTTGGTAGATAACCTTGTGACATAAAAAAAAAAAAATGCCTTTTTAGATATCAAGTTGTTCTGCCTTTAGCCATGTGCCACATACTACACTACCCAGCAGTGACCTCGCCAACGGAAACGTGGTGAAAGGCGTGATTGTAGCCCTCAGTGGGCACACTTAACTCCACAACACAACACGGGTCAATAGTAGATTTACAGCTTCAACCAAGCCACCATTAACTTTACCTGCAAACTGAACTGGGAGCTACTCAAAATCTTGTACCATTCTGCAGCTTTTGCTTCTATTAAGAGATACTGTGCAGCCTTCCTAAGAGGTCAGTATTTAGTAATGCTGTTATTAAGCTCATATAGAAAGCTAAAATACAATTTGACAAGTACAGATAACATACCATCATAAATGTGCATATTTATTAACGACGTGCTTTTGTTTCTCAATGAAAAGCAAACAACAGCACCACAGAAAATGATGCTTCATTTTGAGCAGCTCCTCAGTCATGCAACATACTGTACTGGATATGAATGTAGCCAACTATATATTTATAGAACATCTACAGCAGTCTATTTTCCTAAAAATGGCTTCAGTAGGCAATCCATTGTGACATCTTTTCAGGATTTAGTTTAAACGGTCATAACTACACAGAAACAGCACAATAGAAGTAATTAATCATTTGTGCTGCATGATGTAGTACTGCAGTAAGATGCAAGCACAGCTCCAAATCCTCCGTATCGGCTCAGCCATGAGACACAGCGACAGCTTTGCCTCAGCATACTGAACACCATAAGCTTAGTTGACTGAATAACTATTAGACAAATGTGGTCTTGCCTGCATGATTTCTTTTTTTATTTGTTGTGTACAAATAACATTGTGAACTGTATTTTTTGTATCATTGAGATTGTGACTGTTGTTTTTATTATATTGTACATAAAAAGCACTTTATTTTAATTTTTTAAGATAAATGAATAAAATACATGTTTTGACACATGCATGTGTGGGTCCATTTTATGCTGCAGATTGTTGTGTTGTTTGTTTAGTTGATGCTCACGCCTAGTTTTTTTTGCTCCTGTCACATTTTTACTCACTTTGAACCCTTTTTTTAAAACTGCAATATAAAGTCCTGTATCTCTATGGAAACGGTACCACCATGGCTAGGAGAGTTAATTTAAAATGTCTCATGTGCAGTACAAGAAAGATACATATAAAAGGTTAATTTCAGAGATTATATAAAAAATAAATAAATAAAAAAGGGCATTATTGTACCACAGATGTTACCAACACTGGAAAAAAAACATGACTTTACATGACATAAATAATTTACTATTTACATATTAAATTTGTCTCCATATTGTCACAACCTGCCCTTGTTTTTGTTTGCAGAATCTGGTGCAAACCATTCATTTCTGGCAGGTTTTTAAATGAGACATGCAGAATAAAGTGATTTTTGTTGAGATATCACAAACTAAAACTTAGATTTTGTTAATTTTTCATACAGATCACCACCTCACAAAGGAGAGGGTCTGTTGGAAAGTAGAAATTCCAATGGTTCTTTCTGTTTTAAAGTTTTTTGGCTCTGGTAAATGGTGTCATTTTTAAAGATAACGTGCCTTTCAAGTCTTCTGGCAGGTTGTGGGGTTCAGACGGTTCATGGATTTAAGGTTAACACCAAAAATCTAAACAAATCCTTTAGTTTGTGCCTGGAAAACCAGAGCAAAGTGGAGAAAAGCTGACAATGTCTGATGTAGTTTAACACTTTCTGCACTCCTCCACAGCAGTTTGCCTCCAGAGTTATTCTGTTAAGAGTGTTCAATATCTATAGAAATACATCTTAAATCTTCAAAATAAATATATGCATCAGAAGTAGTACATGATATTGCTACAATGTAAGTCTCGCATCAGATCACCAAACTTAAATAATGATTTTAGTTTTGGTTCTAAGACTTTTCGGTTGAAATATTCGAGCTTCAGGCAAAGATGTTGGAGATGAAGTCGCGGAATCGTTTGGCCTTCTGCTCGGGGTGAACTTCTCTTTAGGTGTGAAAACAACGGTACAGAATGACTAAGGAACGTTTTTTTCAGTTGCATATAAACTGAATCTGAAGTCAGATCTTATTTTAATATGGTCTGAAAATGTAGTATTATGTACCAACAGTACTTGAACATTACACGGTATGAAGGTCAGAGTGTGACATCTAAATGAACACATTTGTAAGTGGTTAATAGAATCAGTTTATCGCTGCTTTTATAAATCAAGTCATTAAGCAGTCGAGCAAATTTACATTTTAATTATCTTGTTGAAAAAACTAAAATCATTTTGAGCTCCCAAAACCACCCGGTCATTTTGCAGCACACTGGTCACCAATACACAGTTTCAGGGAGCGCAGCCCTGTGACAAGCATCAGCTTTATTAGTCAGTACACTTATTTCTGGACATTGTGTGCAGCTGCAGCTCAGTACTGAAGGATGTTTGCTCTGTAGGGATGGGGAGATGATGACACCAGGACTCTGTGGCTCACTGCTGCTCTGTTTGATCACGGTGCACCACAGGTAAAGACCGGGGTTAGTTTGCTTCAGTTTGTCTGTTTGATGTATGACGGTCATACAGCGCTGTGAAAAAATATCTGACTCCCTCCTGATTTCTTCTATTTCTGTGTGTGTACCAAACTAAACTGCATCAGAACAATATTTTAAAAAAGGCAACATGAGTAAACAATAAATCTGAGTTTCAAATAAGAATCTAAGCACAAAGGTTATCTAATGCCATTTTGCCCTGTGTAAAAAAAAAAGTATTCAGCCCTGTCAATCCAATCATCTCTTACATTTTCAAGTTGGCCAAAAGGTGTTAGAGTAGCACGCTGCCCAAATCAAAAGAGAAGAGATGAGGGGGAAGGTGATTCAAATACATCAGTCTGGGAACTGATCCACAGCGAGAGAGATAACAAATAAAGAGGACTTGGCACAGTGGTGAACCTTCCCATAAGTGGCCGACCTTCCAAAATTCTCATAAGAGCACAGCAGCGACTCGTCCAGGAAGTCATTAAAGATCCAAGGAAAACATCCAAGAAACTGCAGGCCTCTTTCACCTCAGTAAAGGTCAGTGTTCCTGGCTCCACTGTCCAAAAGCCACTCAGGCAAAAAAAATGGCAGAAGAATATTAAGGCTTGTCTGAATTTTGACACAACGCAGGAGAATGTTCTATTCACTGATATGATACAACTGTTTGGAAGACTCATGACATACCCACGTTGTAGCATGACGGTGGCAGTGTAATCATGCAGGGATTCATAACTGAGGGATTTCTGCTCTCTGATAAAAAATAACATAAAATCCTGAAGACGGACATCAGGTCAACGATCTGCGAGTTAAAGCTCAAGAGCAACTGGGCGATGCAGCAGCACAGTGATCCTAAGCATGAGAGTAAATCTACCTCTGAATTGCTCAAAAGGAAGAAAATGAAAGTTTTGGAGTGACCTTGTAAAAAGTCAGTCTGCACTTGAACCCTACTGAGAAGGTGAAATGAGCAGTTCAGGCTCACAAACCCTCCAGCGTACCAAAGAGGAGAGAAGAGTGGTTAGCAGTAATGTTTGGCTGTTGCTGCTAAACGTGGCACAAACATTACAATATTAGGCTCAGGAGGGCACTGATGTTTGACTGACACAGTTTAGTCTGAGGTACAAAAAAACAGAAGAACTCAGGAGGGAGTCGACCACTGTACTGCTCTGATTAGTCAACTGATTAGAGGAACTTCTGTATTCACCTCTGGGTCTCCACTTGTGCCTTGACTCTTATCAACCCATCATTCTTGGGTCAGTTAAGGTCACGATAACTCCAACAACAAAAACCTTTTTGCTCCCTCCATTTGCTTTCTTATGACCTGGAAGAACTCGAGGCTCCAGCGTACATCTTTGAATATATTCTGGTTATTTACTCGTCTATTCTTGCATCGCAGCTGCTGCAGACATGAAGCAAATTCTCACATCCCCCAGTATGCGTGCGTACTGCGTATCACTGACCCTCATTTTCACAAAACATCTGCAAACATCCACGCTGTTTGGATGATTCACAGTTTACCGCATTATAATAAGGCCACATTACAGATGGTCTCCTCGGAGAAAAGGGAAAAAAAAATGTATCATCTGTCATTGTTGTGTAATGACAGCTTTTATCTGACCGTTGGATGGTCTGCAGGCAGTGGTTAAGTGCTTAAAATTAGTGAGCGAGCGCCGCTTTTGAATGCAAATTTTGGCCATCTGGCCTCAGATATCAGACTCTCACTGCAGCATATTTTATTCTAAGTTTCTAAGAACATGGGAAACAGGTTTATAGTTCATCATTCAACAATATTTACACATGCAGTCAAACACAACACTGTGGCAGCAGCTTGTGAGCATGCCCAGTCTGCTAAGTGCTGCAGTTAAAGAACAATGCACAAGCAGATTAGGGATTTATGTGCTAAAGTGGTTAATTAGTTGTGTGAGTGTAAAAAGAGCAAAATGTAATAACAAATGGAGAGATTCAGATTTAATTGGGTGTGATTAGATTTTATTTGACTCGGCTCTGTGGTTACATACAGAAGAACTGTAATAAGACAGTCTCAGCTAGTGTAATGAAACGTGCCACCAGGACCACTGTTGCTCTTTATTTATAAGCCTGATTTAAATCTTTTCCCCATTGTGTCGTCCTACAGAATGCTGTTAAATACGGTTTCTCCATATTATGATGAAAAAAAACAGATATGGAAAGAGTTGCAGGACAGTTTCAATATAATACACCTTCATGTATTTGTTTAAATTAGGTATTTAAAGTACATTTTTCTGATTTTCTGAAACAATACAAAAGAACTGCTCTGTTTGATATGCAACTCAGACTTCTCCAAAGGTCTTGCACATGTAACACTAGATGTATCTTGTTGCAATAGTTTAATTCTCACAATTTAATTATTGAAAATGAAAGCTGCTCTTAAAGTCACAGCATCCCACAGGACTCTTAACTTTTCTATCTCATTTCAGGTCAGCAGACTCCTCGATTACACAGACAACACAGTGTATTAGCGGATTTGGAGCTGTAGATCAGGTAACTGAATGTTTAAGGACATCTCGGACACGTAGCGGGCAGATGGCACGTTTAGGGATTGTAAAACTGCACTGTGTTTTATTTTAAGCTCTTCAAAAAGTACATTCTATAAAACTGTGACTGTCGGGGTGGTGGGTCGAGAGGAAGGTGCACATTCCTTTCGATCAAGCTGTTAATTTAAACGAGGATTGTTTCTGTTGTTGTACTGATTTGGTTGCAGTTTTGTCACCACACAGGATTCCACTCAGGTGTGTGAACTGAGCTGTCCATCAGGTGAGATTGCGTCCAGCTGGGTGAAAATGAGGCCCCTTCCCAG